GGTACTCAGCAACTATCAACGAATCTCGGACACATGCCCAAACAGTCTCATCTCCACTCATCAAAAGAGACCACCCAGAGACTGACACAACAGAGCTACCGATATGGACACACAAAAAATATATCAGTCACTCATCGGTAGTCTACAGTGGGCAATCCCAATTGGAAGGTTCGATATCGCAACGGCCACCATGACGAGTCCAGATTTCGGGCAGCACCAAGAATGGGTCACTTAGAGCGAGTCAAGAGAATCTGCGGTACCTTTCCAAGATGCGAAACGGCATCATACGTATCCGAAAGGAGGAACCGGATTACTCAGCGATTCCCAAGAAAGAGTACGAATGGGAATACTCATGCTACCATGGTGCCAAAGAAGTTCAGCGCACAACGCACCGGTACCTCGAGGCAAAGGGTCATTCTCACCACATATGTGGATGCGAACCTCTATCACGATCTCATCAGTGGCGTCAGTTACCGGAGTCCTACACCTAGCGAACAAGACTCCCATCGACTGGTTCACAAGCTACAGTCAACAGTCGAGACCGCAACGTTCGGATCTGAGATGTTGCAGCCCGTACCGCCACTGAACAGATCATTGACCTACGGAGCACGTTCAGGTACCTAGGAGTACGGTCGACACACCGACCATGATGTTCGGAGACAACGAGACGGTAGAACACCGCCTCGATGCCACACTCAAAGATTCTCAAAAGACACAATGCGCTTCCTACCACCGTACTAGGAAGCGTTGCTGCAAGTATCTTGAGATTTCATCATATCCCTGGATCTACAACCCTGCAGATATCCTCAGAAACACTGGGACTATACATCGGTATGGCCTATGCTGAATGCACTGCTGTTTTGGTCAGGAGACACCAAGGATTGCGGTAAGAAACACTCAGAGTCGACAGTCGCCACTGAGGGGAGTGAAAGCGTTACAGTTCCTACCACGACTCAGAGTATCCTGAGTAGATTGGGTCATGTTTTATGAGTCAACACGATGAACAGAAACGCTGGCAAGAACACGTTCTCAACGAGACCAAAGGACACGGTAAATTGGAGTATTCGACAGGAGTAAAGCATCCTGCCAACGAACCGTTTCCCGCAAATACCACGTTGACTTCCGTATCAACTACCACGATTGTATTGATCTAACACGCTACAACTAGCGTTACTGACGCATCAATCAAAGCTCACAACACAGATTATGAATTCTAAGAAGCGAACTTTGCATTACCTTGCACTCGTCTTGAAAGTTGCAGTTGATCTCGTCGGGTGGTAGCTACCTCTACAAATCCTCCCTATTCAAGTAGTATTTACCCACGTTAGCAGCTCCATTCTTCCAGGGCTTAAAAGGGCTTGGTTTGGATTCCATGTAAGGCTTCAACATTCGAACGAGCCGCCAGAATGACGATGGTTCCATCCGGTAAGCACGCCTGACATAGTGTGGGCCCAGTTCATTGAAGATGTCATTCACGTATTTCCTCTTCCTTTGCTGGTGTGGCTTTCCTCCACAGCGATTGTCCTTCCTTCCTTCAAACAACTGTGGATCTGCTACGGAGAGCAGAGCGACGGCAGCTTTGGCAAAATTCTGGAAATCCTCGAGAGCATGGTTCCTTACAGCGGAAGCAACCGGTAAGAAAAGAAGCACGATGACAAGCAAGGAAAGGAAAAACATTGTCTAATGTACTGCTTTCTAGTTGTGGCTAGTAGGATTCGACATTGATGGCAATGGTGTTACATGATGACAACAATCAACCAGAGTCGGCAATGTTGGTTCTTATCGGATGTCATTGGTGTTCCATTGGCATCTGGCGCCCTGGTGGGAGTCGGATTCTCCGATTTCACCACTGACTAGTTGGCGAAGCAATTCGGATTCCCAAATTGGGGCCTCATGGAAATGGCCTCCGAATGACCGATTCACCGATTCCAGAAAAGTTGTTGGGACTGGACCTAAGGAGAACAGCGATGGACAAGGTCTTTTAATCTTGATGAAGGAAGAGAATGTCGTTCACCACCATGTCGTTACTACTCGTGTACTAGAGTCTACGAAGCATGGTAGCATGGTCCTTTTCGTCTTCACGATTGTGCTGATGAGAGAAAGGCCTGCCAAAGCAATTGATTCGATTCGATTGATGATTCGATTCAAATTGTTTGGAGTTCGTCTTTGAACGTTCGGCGTTTTTTCCACCCAAGCTATTACCAGTAGTAGCGGTAGATCTAATGGAAAAGTGAGTCCGAAAATCGGTTCGTCCTTCCTTCGTTCCGGTCCGGTTCCACGACGTGGATTTCGATATGTAACCGTATCTGGTACCAGTACCGGTACCGACGGGAGACATGTACACCACGGCTTCCTTGCGGTGCGGCATCCATAGCGCTGACACTTAGAAGGCAAGGAAAGCAGTGTCGACGTACAAAAGGTGTGAAAATGTCAATGATGCACTATGCGATCACGGAACTCTGTTCAGCAGGGGCAAGCTGGAGTTATTCTCCACAACAGTCTGTTCGAGTTCCATTGCACTCCAGATCCAATTGTGCACGCAACGGTCCTGATTCGGGACGCAGGTGAAATTGGCATCTGATTTTTCATACCATGCTGCCAAGGCACGGTGCAGCTCAAATCATCATCATCCAGGGACGTGAAGTTGTCGACCAGGTACCGTAGGTTTCGTTAGTTGTGAATGGATTGGGTGTTCTGTACAGTAGAATGGGACCGTCTCCTAGAAAGTCATTGTCCAAGAAGCATACATGCTCCAGATGCACTTGACCCTTCATTGCCAGGGTTCCCTACCAAAGGGCTGCATCATGATGAGAATGCGTTAGCGAAACAAAGTTGGTTCGAACTGGCAAGTCTGTGCTGTTGTACGACAGCACTTGCCTTCTTGTGAAGACCCCAAGTTCAACGTTGAAGCAGATACCGTTGGAACTGCTGTGTATTGAGATAGTGGATCGTCCTCTGGGGCGATCGGAGGGCTTTCTTCTGTGGCTGTTCTTCCAAATTCTGGGCAGACACGCGATCGCAATCTGCTGTTGTCACGTGCGTCCTCACCAAGCAACACGCAGCTTTCAAACGTGGTATGGTCCAGAAGATTTTCCTCGAGATCCCCAAAGCATATCTTGGAGTCTTCAGTTTCATAAGCGTAGGTCGTCACTGTTTGATCGATGTTTCAGCCTTGCAAACTCACAGTCATTTCATGTTCACAAGGGTAAAGATCTCTAGCACTGAAGAATAAGTGAGGGTTGGGCTGCCCCGTGGATCCTAACGGGAGGCAGAGAACTCCTCCACGCAGCCATTTATGTTTCCTGAATAGGACCGCCTTCCTCCTGGAAAGACGCATGTTGGAAACAATGTGCGGCCGACGCAGAGGTACTAGTATTAGTAACTGGCTCGGTGGCTGCCAGAAGGTCGATAATTGTTCAGCTTCATTTTCATCAGTACTCTGCCATGGAGGCTTGTCTCTGTGAAATATTTAGCACTCTCACGTTTGGCTGCTTCTGATAAACACTGGAACGAGATATCTCGCCAAGAAGCTGCGTTACTGCACATCACTGTTCGCGAAGCCTGCGTTGTGCGAAGCAAACCTTGTTTCCTTGATTTTTTTGACGTGGTGCGATGCCATACCGGTACGTGCACGCCTCGTAATAGTAGGAAGGATACAGCGGCCTGATAGCTTTGAAGAGCAGTGCGCGCTGGTGCGAGGAATCTGGGGAAAGAGGATTCTTAAGAATCTGGTCATCCAAAATGCTGATTCTTGAGAATCAGTTTCTTTATTTTTCCTCAGTTTCTTTCTTTTTCCTCTGTGCTACCTGCCCGTTTGGTATGGTACCGGTACAGCTTCGGCATGGTGCCAACACACTTGTGGGTTGATTGACTGTCCATGCAATGGCTATGGTTACAGTAATAGTGATGCAAAGGCCACCAAAACAACCACTCGTCTACTCAATTAAAAACTAGCTCTCTCTTTCGTCAGTACGGCATGTCTCCCATGACCTCGAAATGGCGCCATGCACAAGGTACCGGTACTACATGGAGTAGCTAGTACTAGCAGCAAGAAGCTAAGATGGTAACTCCACCAATAGCACCATTGAGGGAGACACATGCATGGTGGCTGGTTCGAATCTACTTGGGAGTCCTATGGATACAGTCAGAAAGCAGCTAGAATGTGCTGCATTCTCAAGAACTGCAAGTCCACCAAAGCCTAGACACCTTGCACTGGCTAGCTCTTGCCACTGCAGTGGTTGCTGTCAGCATCCATTGAATCAGCAGCAGTAAGAATCTCTATTTACATGTTAGGTACACTTGGTGTTGTGTATCATTTCCAAGATTCCACTATGCAGATTCTTGAGAATCAGCATTTTGAATGCTGATTCTTAAGAATCATCTAGCTGATTCTTAAGAATCTGATTTTGAAAAAACTGATTCTTAAGAATCCTTTGCTGATTCTTAAGAATCATCAATTTCCAAGAATCAGCAAAATTCTGATTCTTAAGAATAGGCTGATTCTTAAGAATCCTTGTCTACCCTGTATTTGATTCTTAAGAATCATAATTTTCCCAAGATTTTTTCCTGATTCTTAAGAATAATCTGATTCTTAAGACTCCTTGTAACAGCGCCCCTCTGTTGCTACTAAGCTCAATGCTTCTGTTGCTTCCGATCGAGAGTTTTTTTTCGTGCCACCCAAGACTGGATAAAGCTTGGAACGAAACAATCTTAAATCCTTGGGAAGTCCGGTACTCGAGTACTGTATGACTCGGAACAGAGAAGAGTCATTTGGATCTCGGATCATTAAATCCTAAAATAGATTACTATTAATACTACTCAGTAGCTACTAGTAGGTCTTTGGATCTTTGGATGGTTATCGAGTACAGTATGATACTGTACGAGACTCAGTGTATTATTAATATAGGAAAAATAGATTTGTTCCAGCTTGATCAAAGAAGACTGTGTCTTATGGACACATGTTTTACAGGGTTCGTTGGCCAGTCACAATCACCCGCGCTGCTTGAAAAAGTTTTGCAGGGTGTTGTTGGTTGTTGGCTGTTGGCTGGTGACTGATGGCTGTTCGGTGGACCGGAGAACACAGGAGAAACCCCGAGAGTGCATGCAACGTTGCAGGGAGCCTCAAAACTGAGACTGCGGTCCCAGAATGTTACTACTGTAGCCAGAGGCACGTCCGCACAGAGCCGCACAGTTGAAGGAGGTAGCAGTTGTAGTGGATTGTTGTTGGCCTGCCATCGCTTTATTTGCTAAACCATGAAGACTTTCTCACCAGTGAAAGTGGAGGGCAAGGTGGGATCCCTGACACTCCATCAACAGGCGGTTGTATTCAAATCGAAAGCCTTGCAGATGGAGACATCGTATCCCTGGACGTCCATCAAGAAACACATGATCAAATCAGTTGGTGAGGAAAAGCACATGCTGAAGATATTGCTGTTGGATGAGAGCTCTGTGGTTATGCATGTCCGCACCAGAGAGCGACTGGAAGAGATCAAGGCTGAAATTGCCAATGTCAGAAAAAGAACGAGCCTGAATGGGACAAGTCCTGGTCAAGTAGCTGCTGATGCTTCTACTACAGCGCCCCAAAATGAGCCGGCATCATCAGCACAAGAACGTGGCAGCACCCCTACCAAAAAAAGCTTTGAGCAACAACATCCTCTGCAGCCAACCATTCAAAAAAACAAGTCCAAACCGCTGTACCCACCACCGCAACTAGCAAGCCGCCCCGATTTTGAGACTCCAGAAATTAGACAATTGCAGCAATTTGCCCCTACCAGTACATCACTCAAAACACCACCTCAAGACAAGAAACGAGAACAAACGAATGCAAAGGCTGTAAAATCGATTCCTGGCGCACACAGAGTGTCCCATTCTGCCATGAATCAAGATCAGACCAGCAATCATTCCAAGGGACCCACAGCTGGCAGCAGTTCCACCCTGATTTTGGACTCTGAGGGCGAAGCGAGCGACGAATTCAGTAGTGCTATTCCTACTAGTAGGGAGAGACAGCAGCAAGGCACAAGTCCTCCCAACAGAGCACGGAGGAACTTGGCCGATACAAACAACCTCCCCGTGAACTCTGCTAGGAGGACACAAAGTATGGGTCATGGTCACTCAGTGCCCGCAACTTCGAGGCTAAGAGCTTCGACCGGACGGCTGATGAGCGACTACAGCGCACCCAGCAACAATGGGAGGAGAACGTCGCGTTCGCCGAACCGCGGAAGAGCCAAGCGAGTCACATCGGTCGGAGATTCTCCACCGAGACTGGGTCGCCACTCGTCGTCAGCGATGGAGCGTGCAAAAGGTCCCATGCAACGGCAACGATCAAGTCCCACCCGAACCAGGCGCGGTGTTCGAACAGTTTCCTCCGGATCAGCCATGAAGGACCAATCAGACCGGTCGTCCGGTCAATCATCATCGATTCGCAGGAACGCCAGCTGCACAAACTTTGATGATGATTCGATGGAAAACGACGATTCAGACTTTATGAACTCGGTTTTGCAAGAACGACAAGACGCTGTGCTACATCCAACAGCCCGAAGGACCCAATCCGTTGCCGTTGCACCATCATCAACGGCTCGATTGAATAGAGCTGAAACGGCTCCGGTGCCACAATCGGCAAAGCCGCAACCTCAACGTGATGGGGCCCAACGATCGACATCAAGGCAGCCTTCATCATCATCATCATCGACAACGACTCCATCTCGCGCCAGAAACAATGGCAGCAATGAGGCTGGTGTCACTACTACTACAGAATCAACCGTTGCACCACAACAAGAGGGCATGACATTGACAGAGGTGTTGGCTTCATCAGAAACGTTTGCATTCGTGAATCAGCCAGATCCAATTCCCTTTCAGGCTGATCCCTTTTATTCTGGCATTCCTGGCGCTGTGTGTGTTGGCGGAGATTCTGCTGGTGCTGATGACGAAGCAATCGAAGACAGCGTTCATGAGGGAGATTCGCAGGCAGTGGGCAGGCCTCTGTCGGAAGTGGAAAGAACTGAAACAGGTGACGTTCTAATCGAAGCTCACTTGGTGGAAGAAAGGAGCGTCGACTCCAGTGTTCACAACGACAATAATGCCGTGGATGTGGAAGCGAGCCTTATGTTCAACGATGTTGTGGAAGCGAGTCCCATGAAAGAACCGAAAGAGATCGGGTGCAGAGATGTTTGGAAGAGTCGAAAAGTTCTTCAATGCATTATACCTGTACTGCTGTTGTTTCTGTTGGTTGCCGTTATTGCCAGCGTGATCCTGGCTGTGACACTACCATCGGACGGTGACACAAACCAAAACAACAAGACTGATGGACAGGATCCAGTGGTTCAAGACACCCCGCCCCCAACAACTTTCGTGCCTACTTCCACGACCCCGGTGCCTGCTTCCGCACCAACAATGCCAGTCGAGGTCGAACCCTTCCTCGTCAATGCATATGATGGCAAACTTCCCGAGTACACCTTGGTGGCCTTGGAAGATCGGCAATCACCACAATCAAGGGCGCAGCAGTACCTTGCGAGTAACCGCAGAATAGAGTCGACATCAGCCAGTGGGATCCGAAAGGAATTTGGTCTTGCGTCATTTTTCTACGCAACCAATGGTGACACTTCGTGGACCAACAATGACTTCTGGCTAAAACGAACTGTCAATCCCTGCAACTGGTATCAGGCTGCGACTCCTTGTCCTGGTGGCAAAGGTGCAATCGGCACTTTGAGTCTTCCAAGCAACAACCTAGAAGGCACAGTGCCACCAGAGTTATTCTACTCCATGTCATCTCTCAGGGAAGTTGATTTGTCAGACAATGCAGCCATCACGGGTCCCCTGCCAAGTGATATTGGTGCCCTGACCATTCTGGAATATCTAAACATTTCCCAAAGCTCCATATCTGGTGCAATTCCAACAGAGACAGGAATGTTGACCAAGTTGCGCAGCCTTGATTTGAGTTCCACGTTGTTGACTGGAACTCTTCCCACCGAGTTGGGATTGCTCACTAGCCTCACACTTTTGTCTGTTGGCAACAATGGCGGCTTAATTGGCAGAATCCCACGACAACTTGAAAACTTGCAAAACCTTCTATATGTTGACTTGTCATCTACAGGCCTTTCTGGCCCCCAAAACCCTTTTTGCAATATGCTCCAGCAAGGATTGCAGCTGAAATACGACAACAGCGGGATTGCTGCTTGTCCGGGCTAATGTGGTAACAGGCAACGAATCTTTGATACTCTTGACCAGCGACTTGGAGTAGGCACTGGGGGCAAGGAATTGCGGCTTTGCCATGCTGTTCACAAGGGGGTCTTTGACAAGTTTACCACTGACAAGGTAAAGCCAACCACAGGTGTGTCATTTCCACTTGAAACTGGCAGAAGGGCTTGTTGCGTAGCATCTGAATACTGCGAAAGTTAGTTGAAGAAGGAAGGGTCAAGGCCACACCTCTAGGTACCAAGTTGTGTCGGTCGAGTGGGCAACTTAAAAAGTTTGTCATATCAACGTTTCGAAATGGAAACCGCATCCCCGAAGATTGTCTCCCTTTCACGGTTGCAAAATATTGATAACACAAGGCTAGTAGTGCGACAATACCATTGTGCATTGACTAGTCTAAGGATCTAAGAGATGTAAAGTTTGTATTTCCAAATAAGTGAGCAGTTATTGATTATTTCTAGAATAAGCCTGCTAATTGTAAAGCTGTAAAGCTGAATTGTAAGCTGTATCCCGTCGCACTCCCTTACAGCTGAAATGAAGCTGTAGCAAGAAACATAGGAGAGAGTCCCAGCAAAGTGCTGAGGTAAATTACCATCCCATGAGGAGCTCCGAATGACAGCAAACTGTGGAGCCGGAAGACCCTTGTGAAAATGTCGGCCCGTTTGTTCCAGAGTCGGAATATACTTAGCCACGATGCCCTTCGACTCCCCGATATTGGACCTGAAGAAGTGGTACTTCAATGCCAAATACTTGTTGCGCGCAGACATTTTGGGAACATTCACAAGAGACAGGCAACCTTGGTGTCTTCGAACACTGTAGAGCGCACGAGACTATCAGTAATTACCGGCATATTCAGTTTGCTACCAATTTCTTTGAGCAAAGCTCGCATAGGAAGCAGCTCCCTCATTGACATGCTGAAGGCAACATACTCAGCAGCAGTGAGCTCAAAGTAATATCAGTCTGTAGCTTGCTCGACCAGATAATAGGGCACCCAAACAGAGTCAGGACAAATCCAGTGCGAGACTTGACGGACACAGGATCCTGTTCATCCTCATATCCATACAATCCGGCGAAGTCAGCATCGACCCAACAGTCAAGTCCCTGATCAAGTTAGGGCTAAAACAAATGCCTTTGTCACTTGTGCCAATCAGATACCGAATAATACGTTTAATTGCTTGAGCATGGAATGCCTGGGATTGTGACTGAATCTGCCACCTGGTGCACACTAAATGTGATGTCTGGCGAGTGTTCGACGCAATATAAAAAAGCATCCCAACTGCAGCTGGATACTCCACTCTTCTTCAAATGGGGCCCCCAGTTTGTCAGCTCCGAGAGGATCGGTGGCGGCAGGAGAAAGCTTCTTGCTAGCGTCAGAAATACCAGTATATTCGATGACTTTATTGATGAGCCCTTTTTGAGTAAGCTCAAACTTGTCTCCCTGTCTTTCAAAAATTAATGCCGAGGAATCCAAAGATGTCACCTTTTCTTCCATGGTGAGGTCATATCCAAGTTTCTGGAGCTGCCCAACATAGGACTCAATCAGATCATTGTCTGGACTGAGCCAGATTTGGTCATCACAAATAATTAATACCATGAGTTGATGCTCCTTATGAATAAACAAACATGGGTCTGCTGCCGAGGTTTCGAAACCAAGTTGGATCATCCCCGCGACATAGATGCTCATAAAAAATTTAGGTGAATCGGTCTGCCCATATATGGATTGTCAAGTTTCAAAACACAGTCCTGTCCTTCATAGCCTTGGGTCGATAGTACTGAGGCAATTCCATGTTAGTGGCTGGTCGACAGGCTGAGGGCTTTGACAGAAAGCAAGAGTAAAATCAACTTGTCTCGATTCCCATCCATGGCAGCTGCAAGAAGAAGACCGGCTCTAACGGTGGGCAACCAACAAGTGGAGAGTAGCGACGCCTTCATAGGGACTGAAGGTCTCCTCTGCACGCACCATCTAGATTTGAACTTATTTAATTGCCGTCTGGTAACCTCTTAATTCGTTGCACCCATGTTCCAGGAACCGCCTTTAGGTGTTGAGGGCATAGAAAGAACGTTGTACGATGTGCCAAGTCCCTTTGCCTTCAAGGCTGGCAATTCTTTGTCCATTGCTGCCAGAAATGGTCTGCATGTGGTCCCATCAGAGATTCCTCAGAGAGGGGAGATCAGGGTCTTTGGAAATTTTGGCCTTGAGAGCCAGTGGCTTTGAAGAATGCCAGGATGAAATGATCCTGGGTGTTGGTCAAAGGTGAATAACCATTCACCTGAGATTGCATCATGTGCCCAGAAATTGGAGTAACCCCAAAGGTCAAAGCTAAAACACAACATCAACAGGGATGAAGGAACGGCATATGTCTTCAACTTGGGTCCATGTTCAGAGTCTCAGGCTTCTTGCTGTGGGCTGTTCTACTGGGATTACGACGAGGGGCAGAGATTGGCTCGATGTGGACATCAGTGGTGGGAGTGCTGATGATGGGAGGCTCCCTGTCCCAAGAAGAGGGTAAATTTTGAGTCTGAAGTGGTGGCAGACGATCTGGAATCTCCCTGTGTGAAACCTGGGGCTGTGCTGGAGACGGAGCTTGAAAATGAAGATCATCCCTTTTATCTTTGCTCTTGTCATCCTGCCATAATTTTCTCCCATGTCGAAGCTTCTGAAGATGAGATCGGTGCTGGTTGATGGCCTTTTCCTCTGGAGTAAGCCACTCGTCTGCTAATGGAGGTGTGGAGTGTCCTCATCAAATAGAGTCTCGAAGCGTTGGAAGATGCACATGTTGGTCCACTCTAGAGGTGGTTGATCTTCTGAAGAGTAAACTGTTCTCAAACCAATCATCATAGACAAGTATGGTTACTTGAGGGGAAAGGTATCCGGTTTAGCTAAGGTTGCGGATCAGGACCAACATTTTCTGAATGGAAAGGTGAGGTGCAACATATTGTCCTCTCCTGGACCTGGGCTGCCATTTTGGAATCTTCCCTCCTTCACTGGTAAGCGGAGGTTCCAAAACATATGGCAGGGCATCCCCATGGATGGGCATTCTGATGATTGACCATCATTGACAGTTCTGGAAAATATTCTCAATGGAGCAATCCAGTGACTGAATTCGGATTGTGGTTGTAAAAGTGAGCTGCAGAGAGACTCCAAGGCCAAAGGATTCATCATCAACTTCTGGCCATAGAAGTGCAGCATGGATTATCATTGTTCTAGCTTTGTTTACTACAATTCTAATGGCGTCCCTCAGAATACCCCATTCTGCCATTTGCACCGGTCGCAGAATATTTAGATTGATTGATGTGGTCCCTAAGATGTTGGACATATGCTTGGCTTTTGTAGATGCCATTGTCAGTGTGATATGATTGAACCACAACCCCATGTTCGAGACACCATCGCTCGTATGCTTCCTTGGCCATGATAGAATCAGAAGCATTTAATGTAACTTGGTGGTGGCAAAGATGACAGCCGTGCAGCATCACAAATATTGAGGTTCCACAGAAATTTATTGGCCTATCTTGTTTCTCTTCTCGGCAGTATGTAACAATCTGCCCTTGACTCTTGACTCAATTGATCACTAAAGGTTGTCATACCCGGCTCCAATTTTCTTTCTTGAGCGCTCCCTGTTTGTCTGGAGCTTCTTGGTGACAGTGTGTGATCATGTTGCCTGACTTTTTTTCCAAATTGACAAGCGCACATTTAGATGCTCCCCGACCTTTAGCTTCTAAGCAAGCCGAGACCCTTCTTGTCTAAGAAACCACCCAACACCAAGAATTGGACATGGAGAAGGACAGATGTCCCAACTTGGTATGCCATTGGAACCAGATTTTGTTCAAAAATAGAAAGGTTTTGTTGTTGGTATGTAGAACAGAAGTCATTGCTTGTAGAGAAGAGAGTGCCTTTCCCTTTGGGAACAGAGTAAGTCGTGGTAGAAAAACTGGAGTCAAACTTCATCTTGTACATTTTCTTTCCTCCCGTATGCCATTCAGACATGGTCAGTGTAGACTCTGTAAATGATCGCTGAGTTTGCATGTTTTTGGGTCAAGTCCTTGATGGGACAAGAAAGCTTGAGGGCTTGGAGTCTGTTTGGAAGATCAGGATGAATAAGAACCTGCCGCTCCCGAAATGACAACAACATTTGCTTGCTCATCAAAGTCTCCCAATCAGTAGTATGCCGATGTACTCAATGCTCAGACCTCCAGCGATACCTCCTAGGGATAATTGGTTCGGAAAGCTTTCTGATAGAATTTGGGTCAACATCACTGAACAGTATTGGTGCAATAATAGGAACATCCACTATAACAAAAGCACTGAAGACATATGGGCAATAAGAGGTGACTTGGGCAAAGGATTCATTTAGAAGAATTGGATGCGTTGTTTGGAGAGCCAGCATGTGTGGTGCCTGAGACTGTGTGTCTTCAGTTCTCCCTCCTTGATCGATAGCTTCGAAGCTGTTTTCTAAGAGCAAGATCACTGGAGAGCTGGAAATGATTTGTGCCCCAGCGACTGAGTTCCCAATGACTGCAAGGGGCCCTCACTGTATCTCGACAGGGTTCTGTTGGCCCGACATTTGCGAGCTCACTTATTTGGAAATACAAACTTTACATCTCTTAGATCGTTAGATTAATCAATGCACAATGGTATTGTCGCACAGTTGCTGGAACAGGCAAACGGTGGAGTTTCAGAGCTCCGTGTCGTTTACCGGGATTTTTGTGTTTCTCTTCACAGTAGCACTGTATCACTCGAATCAACCTATCTCACTCAATTCTTGGAGTTAGAAGCTTGCACTGATACTCAGAGATGCGGCTAGATGTCCTCTATCAATTAATGTATGACCTCTTGCTTGCAACTCCTGTGTCAGGATCTATCTTGATCCCCGTTCGAAGACTTCTGCTCGTTGTGATGAGATGGATCGAAATCTCGCGCGATGACGTAATCGGCTTCAACTCGATGAATAACAGCCGGATTTCCTTGCTTCCGCATTGAGACCTGTTCAGTTCAACGTGCTTGATCTGCTGATACTCTTGGTTTCCGTGTACTCCGGCCGGAAGTCACTTGTACAGTATGTATCGGCGACAATGGGAATTCTTCCCGCGCACGCACCTCCTTCCTGTTAGAGCTGTTTCGATGCTCTTATAGTGTAGCTAGAGCCTGATTCTGCGCACCTCTTCTCTGTTACAGTAGTTAACTCAATGCTTCAATACACTTTGACTTGATATCAACTTGACTTACTGTCTCGAGACGGTTGACTTCGAACTCGAGAAGGCCTTTTGCTTTTCAGTGTTGTTTGCTAGTAATACTGCAGCTTATTGGGGAGTAATTTGGTTTTAGATTAAGCTGAAAAGCAAAAGTGAGGATTTTCTGGTGGTGCTCAGCAATTCTTGTGATTGAATTGGATATAAGGACCCTCCTAACACTTTAGACCTAAAACTCCCTTGGTTCCTTGCATCATGAATATGCAT